AGTCCTTCGCTCGAGCGTGCGTCTGTGTTTGGGTTTAGACCTGAGAGTTGCAATCCTTGGCTCGAGCGAGATTTCCTTCGCTCGAGCAAGCGAGGACTATGTTTTGGAGTTCTTCGCTCGAGCGTGCTTCTGGTTGCAGACCTGAAGCTTTGCATTATTGGCTCGAGCAAGACTTTATTCGCTCGAGCGAGGGTTCTTTGTGTCTGGTCGCTCGAGCGACCAATCCTTCGCTCGAGCGAGCCTGTGTTATATCAGTAGACAGCAGCAGGATTACACTTCACTTTTTCATCTCTTCTTTCACTCAAACCCTAGATCCGACCTCTCTCTCTATACATCTTCTCTCTAGGGTTTCATCTATTTTTAGTGTGTTTTTACCCTAAGTTCTTTATAAGAAAGGTAGAGGGTTACGAGGGCTTTGTTTTAATCTGAACAATAGTGGATTTGGAGCACTTTGGTTTTTCCTCATCTACTCCTTTGGGCTTCTAATTTCGAGGTAGGGATATCCTACTCCTTCTTATGGGTTTTGACTTAAATATTTGTCATTTTGATTAGTTGGTGTTGTTGGGTAATTTTGGAGAAAGTTAGGGTTTGGTTTGTAATTTATAAAAGAGGGGTTTTGTATTTAATAACTCCATGTGTATTTAAAGCCTTGGAAATATAAGTTTGAGAGTTAAATTGGTGGAATTTGGTCTTAGGATCAATATTTGAGAAAAATGGAGAATGCTCTAATTTTTGTAATAAATTAATTTATATAATTAATTTGGGAAAATGCGGAAATATGAAATTGAGTTGATGTTCATGAAATTGGGAAATTATGAGGTTGAAAGGTGTAGTTGGATGATTTAATCACTCACTTATAAAAATGTCGATATTTTATCTGTTGATAAATTTACTATCTGTTTAGAGATAACTGCTTTGAGCTATTGCTGGAGGATAGTCTAGATTGTTGTAGACACTGCATGTTGATTAGGGAAAACTGAAACTGATCGAACGTGTTATGTCATTGAATATGACGGTTGGATTAATACAGCAAATATGTGTATTGACTAATTATTGTATGTGATGAAGTGCTGAAATACATTATATATGTATATTTGTTTGGGAGGAGATAGGGGATGTACTCCAGTGTGTTGGAGGAGATAGGGGATGCACTCCACACACATATGTGTTCATATACTTTAACACATTATTTATGTATCTTTGTTTAGGAGGAGATAGGGGATATACTCCATATATGTTCATATACTTTAACACGTTATTTATGTATCTTTGTTTGGGAGGAGATAGGGGATGTACTCCATATGTGATTATATGCTTAAATACATTGTATGTGTATCCTTGATTGGGGGATAATGAGTGATGGACTCTATAGATGACTAAGTTGGCTAGAACGTCCGGGGTGAAAGTCCCGAAACCTTATAAATTGAAGTGCATGAATAGAATTGTTAATTGGAGTATTAATTACATGAGATGTAGTCTCATCTTGAATCATGGATAGCGAAAGTATTAATGAGTCGAGCTGTAGTCTCACCTAAATTGTTTGGTTGGATATTGAACCATAATTAGGAACTGATCTGGACAAATAAGGGAAGTGGATGGTAGCATGGATGTAATTGTTGTTGGGCTATGAGAAGGGTGTGATAATGTTTATACATGCCGATCATTTGTTATGTGATAATGTTTTAATTATTTCTCATATTGGGTTTAGTACATTTCTATTGGGCTTTGGCTCACCCTACTTGGGACACCATTTTCAGGTACAGGAGACGTGCCAAGTTCAAGATCTTTACTTGGGAGGTCTTCGGAGTTAAAGACTCTGCTTTGTTATTTATTTTGTTAATTATATGTAAATGCAAGCTGAGAGCTTTACCTGTAAGAGAGTTAGAACTTTTCTTTTGATTGACCAAGTAGCAACTTGGAAAGATGTAAGCCTACAGGGCATTTTATTATTTTTGTGAACATTTGTAATTAATATGAAATACACTTTTGTAATATTAACTCTAATGTTTGTATGTCAATGTAAACTATCTATCATGTTTATGGAAGGATTGGATGTGGGAATTATGTATTATTATTGCTATTGTTATTAATATTGTTACAGAGATCATCGTCAGGTCCAATTCTTGGAACTATTGTTATTGTATTGATGGCCATCAAATGATTGTTCGGTCTTTAAGACTTATCAATTGTTCTGCTATTGGATGTATCACGTATGACTATTTTGAATCGAAATGATTGATATGATATGACATATTGATTGAGAAATTGATCTACTGATGAATTGACTATTACAATTATTGTAAAGACATCATTCATAATCCCTTTACACAGTTATTATTCACTGGGCTCTAGCTCATTGTTTATTATATGTATATAGGTGATCGAGCACCGAATCAAAGTTAGCGGCATCAACACAAAACCTGTTTTTGTCAAGCCAACTATCGTGCCTCACTGCGAGGTTCCGAACTATTGCATGTCAAGGCTTATTGGGTGATCCAGAATCACCCTTTTGAAATCATTCCAGTGGCAAGAGTGGTCTATGACTTTTGTTGTACTGTTTTTGATAATGGGATTTAATTCCCTAACTTGTGTTTTAGTCTGTTTATACGTGTTTTTGACTTAAGTGTTTTTTTTCATATATAAGTATATGAAAGTTATTTTGTACATTTAAGTCCTCACAGCTCATTGGAAGTTATTTTCTATTATTGATTGGCTTCCGCCAGCCCCTATTATTATGTTATTGTCATTATTGTTAAACAGGCTTTTGGTAATCACAGATTACTGGCCGGTTATAATGCTAAACTTGTAAGAGCGGGTTTAGGTCGTGACACTTTTCTATTTCCCTTTTCAAATTCCTTCTCAAATTCCCTAACCAAATGCTATATAAACAACCATAGCAAAACTATGCTTATCCCTTGTTCATATAAATTGTTAAGATATCCAGTATTCTTTTACCTAAAAACAATAATATATGGTTTAAATTCGTTTTAAATGTAAGTCTCATTCTATATTAATTGAATCCCAACCACGTTTATTTATTTATAGTAATTTTTATTGTTGAATTTATTCTACATGTAAATCTTACAATAGGTTAATTAAATCTCAACAATACTTCTTGATTTGTGACAATTTTCTTAGACAAATTTTCATGGCAAATAGACTTTTTCACATGTAGAATTAGAACAAATCTGAATCACATATTGACATTTATGAATAAAAGTTTTAGATGTGTCTCTTAACTTCTCTTAAATTTTATCTCACTTTCAGTTTCTACAGACTTGATCAGTTTCGATTGTATTTCATCTTAATTTTATCAATTCATTACCACATTGTAGAGATTGGAGTTGTGCCAAATCATCAAAGTCTTGTTTATTTGACAAAAGGCTATTTGTTTTTTTTTTTTTTTTTTAAGATGGTTATAGCTGGATTGTTTTGCCATGGGTTAAGATTATTATAATAGAAAGAGACACATTTTTTTTTTTTTTTTGTGGAGGTTTCCTAAAATTTCTTATTAAGTTAGAACTCTATCTTAAAGTTTTTTATTTAGGTTTCGTTTGGGATATAGGTTGGTTAATTTAGCCCCACAAAGACAAAATAGGCTAAAAAATCAAATTAAGACAAATCTCACATCCAAACGATAATTATTTCATTTTTTCTCCCATAACTACCACATTCGAAGTAAAAAGAGCCAAAAGCTTAACCTAAACAAACCTTTTTTAGGTAGGTTAAAATAGCCTAAAAATTAAAAAGCCAGGCTAAATTTTTTTTATCCCAAATAAAGCCTGAAAATAAATAAATTTTATTGAACAAGCTGTCTACATTATTATGTATTGCTGCTTTGGGACGTGCTTTCAATATTCTTCCTGCTTTATGAAGAATTCAATTTGGAATACTAAAAGAATGTAATTAAGGAATATGATATGCAAACATAATATCATTACAAAATTTAAGAAAAGAATGGTATAGACATGATGTTTTTGTATTTGTGAACTAGAGTGATGATTATTTTAACTTCCAATATTGAATAGAGATAAATGAGACATATCGATTTATATGGGTTTTGTATATATAAATTATATTTATATAGCATTACTCGTGTATTAATTTCATCTATTAAGGGGTTGTTTGAGATGTTCTAAATAAGTGTACTTTTTGTCTTTTTAGACTAAAAAGTTGAGGAAAAAATATGCATGTTTGGGTTAATTTTTTGACTTTTTATGAAAAATGTGTATTAAAAAATTGTATAAATTAGTGTGTAGGGGAAAATTAGTATTGGGAGTTGTACAGTCATAATTTTTGACTTTTGGTGAATAGTGATAACTTTTTAATTTATTGAGTAACTTTTTGACTTTTTGACTTTTTGACTTTTTTTACACTTCCCAAACTTGGCCTAAATAATACAGACTTTAAATGTTGACAGAGGCGCTAACTTGTGCTCTTTTAAGTGGACATTACATTTAATTTGAAAGTATAAGAAAGTAGATTGGCTATTGGTATACATCTATATTATTATATAAAATGTACAACTCGATTTAGTGTAAATTTTGTTATATTTTTTTTTAAAATTCTCAAATTTTTCTTATGTAACTACTTGAAATTTTGATAACTTCTTCAGTTTTCCTTTTCTCCATTTCCATTTTTTTTTTTTTTTTATATCAGTTACTTAAAAAAATCCTCCAATTACATTTGACTAAGTTGATTTTAATAGTGCACTCATTTGCTATGCACACCTTTTTATATATATTATGTTTAAACACACGTTTTTAGATGTTTGTATCCAAATTGTATGAGTGTGCCATTAAAATGAAATTTGATTTAACTATATTTTTGATTAAGCAAAGTAAACAATTGCATAAAAACTTGTTTACTCTTTATTCTTTTTCTTTGTTTTTTTCCCTGTGTGCATGATTTTTGAATTTTTATTTTTTCTTTTTTTTGAGAACCAGACAAACTTCCAAATATATTACACATAAGATAAGAGTTTTACAGATTTTTCCAGTTTATGCACTGGCTCCACCAGAAACCTGTTTAGTTACAGAGAGAAATTGAAATTGTTTACTTATAGCCAATACATCCTGGACAACCAAAGCAACCTCCCAATCCGGATCGCTTTGTTGCTCAAAACTATCGACTAAAATCTTACAATCTGTAAATATAGAGAGGCAACAAATCTTCATCTTGACAACCCATTTGATAGCTTCCAAAAGAGCTCTAGCTTCTGCTAATAGAGGAGAAGACAACCAAATAGAAAGCACTTTGTTGCGACACCTGCACTTGAGCTTCATCCAAGCAGAGACCCATGCCAGGCCAGCTACTTCGGTGCTCTGCTTCCATGCTCCATCCACCACACAGGTAAAGAGCTAAAAATCATCAGATTGAATAGAATTATTAGCAATAACAAAACAGTTATTTGAAGAAGAAACCTGCAGCTTTGCATAAGCACATTCAGATATGTCATTATCTAACTCACTACAAAAAATTAAGGTTTTAGAAACCAAAATTTAGGAACAAAATTATTTCTTAGGAACCAAATATTTTTGTAGCAAAAAGTGTTGTCATTATATTTTTAGCAACAAAAATTAGACATTAGTGATGAATTATTATCTTTTTGTGACCAAATTTTGTGTCTCAAAAAATAAATTATTTTAAGACCAAATTATTTTGTCCCTAAAAGTCTGATTATTAGTGACATTTTCAAAATTTTGTCGCTAAAAGTCTTGTTTTTGACTTTTTGAAACAACCTTTTAGCAACTATTCTCATGACAATAAAAATTGTTCCCTAAATGTCTTTTGCAACAAAATTTTCACTTTCAAAGACCAAATTAGTCTTTAAAACTCTTATATGTTGTAGTGACTGTTGCACTTCCATTGTTCCATTGCAATATAAGTTCAGTAACCAAGTATAAAGTTTGATCTATTGCCAATTGCTTATGTTTAAACACCTTAATATTGCACTGCCACCATATTGCCCACAGAATAGCAATAGAATGAATCATTCCTAACCCACCCCTTCCACCTTGTTCTGAAATCAACAGCATGCCCACGAGTAAAATCCAACCCCAAAACTGTACCCCTCCAAACTCTTTGGGACCAAGGACATTCGGAAAAAAACATGCTCTATTGTCTCATTCGCATGACCGCAACTGACGCATCTTGTATCGACCGGTATACCTCTTCGTTTAAGTTGCCTACTCACCGGAAGAATATTATGAAGACACTTCCAAATAAATAAGATCCATTTCGAAGGTATTTTAGTCTTCCACAGCTTTTTCCAAACAAAAGGTGTTGGAGAATAATTTCAGTAAAATTAATTAATAGCGAATAATAAATAAAATAAAATACGCTTACAACTTTTCGAATATCAAATTATTAACGAAGTTGTGATTGAGGCCAGTGTATGGACACTGTGTCTTTAAGATAGAATAACACCCTCTTCACTGGTGCTTGAGATTAATAGGCGTCCTGTCTCCAGGATACAACAATCACCACACACAGAATTCGTACTAACTCCATGTGTACAGTGAATCAGAGTATGTGCTTTGCACTTTTCCAAACTTAGACTCTAAAAAAAAAATATGAATATGAGGGATGAACAGAGGAGGAGGAAGAAACTAGAAGTCTGAAATTTATTTATTTTTTTATTAATTTTTTGATCAACCAAAAAAAGATGGAGGACTTCCTTAAATAGGCAACAGGAAAAAACTGAATTGGAAAAGATATGTCTGTTCACCAAAAGTCACACCCGATTGGAGAAGACACCAAATTGATTTTTGAATTTTTTGGAGCAAATTCAAATCTGAAATTTGAATTCTTTCCTGCAAAAATTTAAAACTAGGACCTTACATTATTTTTTCCAATCTATGTGGGACAAGAACACTCAACACCATTTGGGAATTTATATCAACATGTCTCATGTTCATGAACTTTACTTTGAAGTCAATTTTCCATTCACCTGTAAATGGTTTTGACTCACTAATTACATAATCTTGTTTACCACATGGCAACGAACACATTGCTACTCGGACCCTCCTAAATTGACTTATGGGTCCTACATAATTATTAGCCTAAGCTTCTAAAAAATCAGCATTTAAATCATTTTTTCCAACAAAAGGATCAACCACATTTCCAAACGTCATATATGCGGGATGTACGCTGACGTTCATCTCAATTTTTTTCAAAATTTAACTTAAATGAACGAGCAGTACATGCTACAATAGGTGTAAAAATGAATTGGACCAAAATAATCACGTGCGTTGCACGTGTGTTTGAACTAGTAATAAATAAAAAGAAAACCATCATTTATGAGGTTGCCATCTACCACCTCTTACCAACTATTTGGATCAAGGTAAATTACACTAACATCCTGAGGTTTGGATTTAATATAAATTTTTCCTTCACGTTTGGAAAATTATACTAATTTTTCTGTCAGTTTAATTATTTTGACGGAGTTAACGTTGGAATTAAAAAGATATTTTTGCCCGTAAACCTTTATATGTAGAAACTAATAAAAAAAAATGTAGATATTTTGTTCATGTAACTTTAGAGAAAATGACAATAACCTTGTTTGATTTTGAGTTTTCAAAAATAATTTTCTGAGTTTTTAATTCGTATTTTTATATTTTTAATGATTTTTTAAAATATTTTAATTATTTTTAAAAAAAAATTTAGATCACTTAAACTTGAAAGTAAAAAATTTGTAAAAAGAATTTTTAAAAAAATTCATTGAATACAACAAAATTTGAATAAGTATTGAATTTTCTTTTTTTCTTTTTGTATTTTGTGAAATTTTTTAAGTTTTTTCACAAGTATTAGATGTATCAAAAAATATTTTAAAAAAAGAAAATGCATAAAATATTTAAAAAATTTACTAAAAATAAAAACACTCAATTTTTTGAAAAGTTAACTCAATTTTCTAGAACCAAACATGATAAATAATACCTTTTTGTTTTTTTACCTACCACAAGCCATATTTGGCAGGTAAATGAACTGCAAATGCAAGTGTAATTTTTTGAAAAGTTAACTCAATTTTCTGAACTAAACATGATGGATAATACCTTTTTGTTCTTTTTACATACCACAAGCCATATTTGGCGGGTAAATGAACTGTAAATGCAAGTGAAATAATATAGTGTATGCTCTGATTGGACCTTTGTTTCTGGTATATTAATAATTTTAAATAGGATATAAGGTTACAAAGGACTTTTTAAAGTCCCAAAAGGCAAATCAATCACTTACGTTTTTTTTTTGCTTATGTCATCAAGATTTTTCTAACAACTACTTTACGATAAAGGAAGTTTGTGAAATAAGACTATTAACTACAAGGATAAAAATGTAATTTTTAGAACATCAGGGGTGAGAATGTAATCGAGCCAAATGTCGGGGTGCCAATGTAATTTACCCTTAGATTCAATAACCAAATAATACACTTAGACTGTTTAGATCCTGATAAGAAATTTATAGAAGCAATAGAAAATGATTGGAAAAAAGAAAATAAAATAAAAACTATTTATAATCACTCCTCAAACTCAAGACCCAAACACACATAAAGATCATGCATAGCGCTCACACAATTAGCTGAACAAGATCATCTCATTTTCATCCTCCCTAAACACACACCACCCCCATTATTCAAGCACCCTTTCAAATGTCACAATTTCAGCATAACTTGAAAAACGATTTAAAACCCACAATCCAAAGAGAGACTATCTTCCTATAATAGTCATTGCAATTGATTTCAGTACAAATGAGATACAAACATCACATAGGCAGCTTTAAATCTGAATCTTTTAGGTTTCGTTTGTTTTAGTCTTGAGACTTTAGTTTCAGTATAATATTCTCACGTAGTGTTTGTTTGCAACTTTCAAAAATTAATTCTACGCTTGCTTTTGAAAATTAGTCGGAAAAATTTAGACTAACCGGTCGTCCCACCGGTCATCCGGAACAGTACATTTTTTTATTTTTTTTTTTTGCAATTGACACAAGTTAATTTTTATATATTCAACAAAAATTATTTTTCAAATTTTTTTATGAGCTTTAATAAAATTTTGAGTTATGTGTTTGGTTATGAATTGTAAATTTTTATATCAAATATCATTGTCATATCAAAAATTCCCCACTCAATTCAAAACTCATTCACCAAACAAATTTTTCACACTCAAATCATAATTCTAAAACTCATAAACTCAAAATACAACTCTTATTCTCAAATCATATTTAGAAACTCTACCAAACGCTACCTTAGTTTTTCATGAATTTCAGTGTTCTGTGTGAAATTCAGGGGAGATTACTTGCAAGAAACTCTCACATTCTTTTCACTACACTTTCTGTGTTAAAAGATTAAATACTATAAATGACCAAAAAGGACAACAACGCCGTTTTTTCCTAACATTATATTCATAGGAGCTAACCAAAATAATCAGGCCCTCTGTTTCTTACAAGCATAAATGGACCAACTTTTGAATAACAAATAAATACCCACACATAATAATACATCCATAGAATACAATGATTTGTGAAATGCTTGTATGCTTTAATCATATTCTTAAACAGAATGATGAGACCAAATTTGCTTCACAGCCCCCAATCATCTGATGCCATATGCCACCACAGCTTGTGTTATAGCCCGAGTGACCAGTTTTATTAGATGGCTAAATTGAAATTCGCTTGCACCCACCACCACAAGCAGGACTTACAACAAAACATAATGAGCAGAGGTCAAGATTGGTGTTGTCAACTCAATGCTTAATTGAATGAAGCTCCCACTTGCCCTCACCATCAACCAATCGTAATTCCGTTGAATGGTATGGTATTAAAGCAGGGCGCTGCAAGAAGTAAAAGTATGCACAATATGATATGAGAAATAATATAAAAACAAAGCTTGAATTCAAAGTAGTTTGCAGAAGGATTATGTATAGCACATTTTTAAGTAGTAAAAAGAGGCATGTTTAAAAAGAGGCATGTTATAGAACAGTTTGAATGAGACTAATCTCTCGCATTGTGATATATATAGTAAAGTGAGCTAAATTTTATTATCATCACAAATTTTTCATTTATTTTGTGGGTATTCTTTTAGGGAGCCACTGTTTTAGTGGGTTATAACTCGGCCTACCAACCTTGTGGTTGTGGGGTCGAACCTAAAGACAGCCACTTTGTGCAATTTATGTTGAGGTTAGATCTATGCCCAATCTACCACTTCCAGGCACCCATATAACAGAGACTAAACTAGGTGTAGTTTTTTTTTATTTTGATTTTATTTTGTTTTGTTTTGTTTTTTAATGGATAATTTTTAGCAGTGTCGGGTCATTATCTTTTTTGCTAGGGAAATCAAAACAAAGAGCCAAACCCCAAACCATCCCACCAGATGGGTGTGTGTAACCACTTATCAGGTACCACTGGCATTGCAACAATGATGTTCATAACTAATTGTGACATATTGCAGTAGGAGGGCAATATCAAATACCCACCATATACAGCACAATCTCAGCTAATCCTGACCAGGCCTCCTAGGTTACAAATCACAAATTAGGTAACAATTGATAGGCTCGCATGTGATACATTCATATTCAGCACAGTTGCAGAACTACTCACCTGTGAGGAGGTAACCAACGTGATGCCCATGTCATTTGCAAGCTTATAAAGATGTTCTTCAATATCAATACTTGTGGCACTGTCAGTAAAAAATTATTATATAAAAATTAGTATGAAATGTGAAATTATGGGTAAGCCTATCATTTTAGGAAAGAACAAAACAATGAAAGCTTTAGTTGCATACTTGGTGCACTCATCAAGGACGCCGAATTTAGGCTTGTGAAAGAATAAGCGTGCCTTCAAATACAGAGAATTGCAAGTCAAACAGGTTAGCATTCACTTAATAGATTTTTTAAACTTGTTCAAAACTAGTAGGAAATGCTAGTGGTGGAGTGAGCTCACCATGCCTAATCTCTGCTGCTCCCCAAGAGATAGGATGTCTTCCCAGGTCTTATTGGCATCCCAGCCACCTTCTCTTTCCAAAAGATAGAGTAATTTGACATTTTCTAGAATAGTTTCTAAATGTGAATCCAGAAGTTTTGGGGCATCGATAGATGTTTCACCTGAAATTTTGCTTGAGGCACTTAGGAAACAAGATAAATGGATAGATCAATTTTACAACTAGAGCATAAAGACAAATAAAAGAAATATAGGTCACACTATCATATTGAACAATCAAGAAAAAAATTGGTAAAAATATTGTCCATGAAACAGCGAGAACAATTATAGAATAGGAAACATAATACATGCAAACCAACATATGTGCTAAAAATTTAGACCCCACAATAAACGTCCCGATCCTCACTTCAAATCAGGGAAAAGTGAAACCATTTTTACTTTGGTAATTTTCCTTCTCTTTTTTACTTTGTACAAAATACTAGGGCATCTGACTTCCACTCTGCCCATCCTACACAACCACAGAATTGTATTTTGTCACTTTGGGAGATATGTGAGCCACATCGCCTGGGTACAAAGGGGATGTACAGTGTATAATCCCGAGAGTACTCTCACTTCACAAGCTAGCTTTTGGCGTTGAGTTTTACCCAACACAATGTCCCATGGTATCAGAGAGGGATGGGAAGGGTGCGTGTCTTCGGCCCTGCACACTAGGCATGAGGGAGGGTAGGAAGCAAAGTCCAGTAGGTACAATGTATAAGTGTGAGGGCACCCTCACTTCAAGAGCTAACTTTTGAGGTTGAATTCTACCTAGGACCATATCACGAGATAAAGATATTGCTCCAGTTCCATAGTTAACAAATTCAATTCCTTAAATGAAAGGAACCTGGTTGTTCAGAAAATTTATGCGTAGCCATTCAAAAGCCAAAGAGATCTCTGGCTTCTAGCCTTCTAGAAGCCAAAGAAAAGGCTTTTGCCCCATATTTTCATTGTAACAACTCTGCAATAGACTGCCACACCACGTAGTAAAACTAGTGAATCAATTAAATTTCCATGGACCATACATATATTTATACTTTTCAAAGTGGAAAACAGAAACATTAGGTGTTGGCATGTCACAAAAAGATGAAGTTGGAAATTTAAATGGAAAGCATACCATAAGTAAGATATATTTACCTTTCCCGTACAAATCTAATGCCATTTGCTCTGCTTCCTCACGAGAGAGTGGGTATATAATTTGATCCCGTAGGGTTCCTAAGCACATATATGATCGCTGAGGAACATAAAAGACACCACGACCACGTCCAGCCTCTTCACCAATACGTTGGCATGGTTTAACAAGTTTTCCACTGACAAGGGGCCAGAGGCCTCGAAGTACTCTGAAGACGCAACTTTTTCCACTCCCATTTGGACCTTTACAAAATACAGGATTTGTCAGATAAATTTACAATAAAAAGATAATGACTGAGAAGTTTACACTTACCTGTAACAAGCAGGCCCTTCTCTGGTAGTATCTGAAACTTCAGCTTCCTAGCCAACATTTTCTGTCCTGGAGTAATGATATCCACATCGGAGAAAGAAATGATATCTGCAGAGTGGGTTGTTGTCGGCTTTGTTGGTGATAAAGTGGAGGTAGAAATATGACCATCTGTAGGACTAACTTTGTCAGGAGGAATGCGTAATCAAAATGAAAACAAAATGAAGTTAAATCCACCAAAACAATCAATACAAAACACAAGAAGAATTATTTGTTCGACAAGAAAGAGGGCATAGACCATGTGAAACAGCACACAAAGGCCTAGGCCCCATTGAAAGGAAGAACTATCAATTAACTTAAAGAGGAAGCCTCCCCAATTTGAAGTGAAAATGTAAAATTCCCAAACCAAGTAGAATAATAGCTATTTTAATAGAATTTACTCACAAGTGCGATATTCGCTATTCTCCCTGCCAATCTTAATAATGCCCTCATTTAAACTCAAGTTCCTAGTTCTATCAAGACCCACCAATTCCAATGATTGAAAAATGGAAGCCCAACCATGCTACTAGAGAATAAAAAAGAAAAAATAATCTGGTTCAATGACCTCCTGAAAAATGACAAAACTATTTGGAAGAGAAACCTTCACATCATTGATTCATGCATCAGGAAAGGCAGTTTTAGCATGACCACAGTCCAACACCTAGTTATAGAACATTTTTTTAGTAAAAACAATATTCCAATGCATGGTGTTCCACTCCCAGACCAGAGGAATCTGTCATCCATCCATAATTATTCATGGAGGACTGTAATGATGTAAAAATTCCTATAGCAAGTTCTTTCTAAAGTAATGATGGGTCATTTGTTCTGAGGTGCATATTTCAAGCCACTTTCTTAAAAAATAGCATGATTCATACACGAATGATCTTGGACCCAAGCAAAAGACTGAAGTGCAAATGGGATGCCAATTTACAAAATGGTACTTGAACTCCTTCCCTCATGATTGCCTAAAGAGATGTCTATGAAGTTTTCCCTACCTTCCAGCTACCAAATTCAAGATCATGCAAATGGTTATTGTTAGAATGTGTTAGGATATTTCCCATTTTATTCTCATTCAGTCTCTTTATTTGCTGTAATGGGCCTTTATTTAGGCCTTAACTTATGTTTATGATTTACTATAAAAGGGTATGAAAACCACTCATACCCTAATCTTTTCTCTTCTAAAATTAACATGGTATCAGAGCAGAACTAGAAGAAGAAAAAGAAAAAGAAAAAAAAAAAAAAAAAACCCTAGCCGTACCACCACCAAGCCACAGCACCACCACCCCAGCCCGCAAGCCCCCGGCGAAGCCACCTAGGGTTCTGACAACCCCAGTCGACGGCACCTAGGGTTCCGACAGCCCCAGTCAGAGTCGCGACTCCAGTCGAAGGCACAACCTAGGGCTCCGACAACCCCAGTCGAAGGCACCTAGGGTTCCGACAGCCCCAGTCGGAGTCGCGACTCCAGTCGAAGGCACAGGCGCATCTCTCTCTCGGCTGGCTTGGAGCCCTGTGGTCTGTCCTCGTCGACATCTCTCTCGGTCTCTACATGTAACTCCTTCGTCTTCATTTTTCTCTGTGTCTTCGTAATATGTAAGCCTCTCTGAGTCTGTATTCTCCTCTTCTTAATCTCTCTCTGTCTTCTATGAAAAACAAAGAAACAAAAAAAAAATGTTCTCTTAAATTTATTTTAAATTCATTATTATATTTTCCCATCTTTCGAGTTTGTGATTCACTCCAGATGTGTTTGTGAGGGTTCCGTCGCGACGTCATTATGGACGAATTGACTAGTGAGTCTACTACTTCGTAGCCTGCCACACAGGGCGCGAGTCCTGTTTTGACTACTTCGATGACCGATTCTCTCCACCCTAGCCAGAAAATCATTACCTCTCTCTTTAATGGTCAGAACTATCTAGCGTGGTCGCAGAGTTTGACTATATTTTTGAAGAGCAAAGGGAAGATGGGATATGTTGATAGGCGTGTTTAGGCTCCCAGTATCACCGATACAGGTTATGATCAGTGGGAGATTATCAATTCTCTTATCATAGGTTGGTTGATACACTCTATGGTTTTGGAGATCGGTAAGGGATACTTGTCTATGGACACAGCACAGGATATTTGGGAGGCTGTGGCCACTACGTATTCCCGCAAAGGTAATTTCTCATAGACTTTTGAGTTGTGACGCTCTATTGACCGGTCTGTTCAGGGTAAGATGACTATCCTCCAGTATTTTACTTTCCTTAGCAATGGGTGGAAGCGACTTGATCATCTTCAAGACTACAAGCCTGTCTGTCCCACAGATTCTGCTGGTTACCGGAAATTTGTTGAACAAGTGCGGGTCTTCAAGTTTTTGGAAGGTTTGAATGTAGAGTTTGATCCTGTTCGGAATTGTGTGCTTGGTATGGATGCTCTTCCTTCTCTTCAAGAAGCGTTTGCTTATGTGCAGAATGAGGAGAGTCGTCGTTCTGCTATGCTTCCAGCTGCCTCTTCTGATCGATCTGCCCTAGTTTCTGCCCCCTCTCGAGATGGGGATCGTGGTTCTCGCCCTCCTTCTGAGAAGGATACTCTCTTCTGTGATTTTTGTCGTCGCCCTCGCCACACCTGTGAGACTTATTGGAAGTTGCATGGGCAACCATCTGGAGGTCATGGAGACCTTTCTAGTTCTCGAGGGGGTCGCTTCGAACAGTCTCGAGGCCATGGGCCCAATGCCCGAGCCCATCATTCTGATATAGTTGAGCCACAGTCTACAGCTCCAGTTGATTCATCTGCTGATATCTCGGGGTTTTCTACTTCTGAGTTTGAGGTTGCTCTTCGCTACTTGCTAGACCGTCGGGCCTCTAGTTCATCTTTAGGTAATATTGCCCAGTCAGGTAACTTAGCTTCTTCTACAAGTGCTTTCCTCTCTCATCAAACGTTACCTTGGATTATCGATTCTGGTGCTTCCGACCACATGTCTGGTTCTTCTGATTTATTCTCCGCGTATACCCCTTCTTCAAGGCAGGATAAAGTTCGAATTGCTGATGGTACCATCTCTTCTGTGTCTGGGAAAGGTTTAATTCATGCCACTACTTCTCTCCCTTTATCTCCTGTCCTACATGTTCCCAATTTTAGTGTTAATCTTTTGTCTTTGAGTTGTATTACTTGGGACTTAAATTGTAATGTGACCTTTTTCCCTGACCATTGTCTGTTTCAGGACCTTATCACAAGGAAGATGATTGGCAGTGGTAGACACGAGAATGGTCTCTATATCTTGGATCAAGCAGACAAGCTGGCTCACTCATCCATTCAATTTCCATCTACCAAGGAAGACATCTGACTGTGGTACCGCCGTCTTGGGCATCCATCTTTTTTGTTACTTAAGCATCTTTTTCCCTCTGTTTTTTTTGAAAAATAATGTTTCTGAGTTTCATTGTGAGTCGTGTCAACTTGGTAAACAACACAGAGCTTGTTTTGCTCCTTCTATTAATAAAAGTTTAGTTCCTTTTTCTTTGATTCATTCTGATGTATGGGGTCCCTCTCGTTTTGTGTCTTTAAAGGGTTAACGATGGTTTGTCACCTTTATTGATGATTGTTCTAGGACCACCTGGGTGTATCTTATGAAGGAGAAATGTGAGGTGTTTTTTGTGTTTCAAAATTTTCATAAAATGCTTTGCACTCAAATTGGGACAGTTGTCAAAATTCTGCGTTCTGATAATGGGGGGGAATACATTGATTCTGGACTTGCCAGCTATTTTGCCACTCATTGTATTATTCATCAAACTTCTTGTACCAATGCCCCTCAACAGAATGGTGTTGTCGAGCGTAAAAACCGGCATCTTCTTGATATTGCGCGTTGTTTATCCTTTGAAATGCGCGTTCCTCGATCCTATTAGGGAGAAGCGGTTCTCACTGCTGCGTTCCTCATCAATCTGCTTCCTACCCAGGTTCTTCATAAAGAAACTCCTCTTCAGGTTTTGTTCGGCTTCCAAGCTTCTGCTGCCTTCTCCATTCCTCCCAAAACCTTTAGATGTGTGTGCTTTGTTCATAACCATTCTCCTAACCGTAGTAAGTTGGATCCTCGGTCTCTTCGGTGTGTCTTCTTGGGTCACTCCACCACTCAAAAGGGCTATAAGTGTTATCATCCCCCCTCTCGCAAATGGTTTGTCTCTATGAATGTGTCTTTCTTTGAATCTCAGTCTTATTTTCTCTCCTCCCCGGTGTCCTCGTCATCTTTTCAGAGGGAGCCTTGGTGTGAAGAGACTCTTGTATCACTACCATCACCATCAGTTATTGCGACTCCTGAGACTATTATTACTAATGATCCAACTATTGAGAATGCTGACTTTCCATCTGCAGTGAAAGACGACAAAGTGTATGTCAGGGACAAGGGTAGACAAAAAGTTACTTGGGTACAAGAGATCAATTCAGATTCTCCACTGCTATCTTCTTCTTATGAGTGTCCAGAATCCTCTCCTTCTGGTGAACCTCCAGGTAACTCAATTCTTTCTGATCTAGATGTTCCCATTGCTAAAAGGAAGGGGGTTAGGTCATGTACTCAACATCCTATTTCTCATTTTGTCTCCTACACTAATCTGTCTTCTTCCTATAAAGCTTTTTTGTCTAAAGTTTCTTCTGTGAGTCTTCCTTCCAATTTTCAGGATGCTCTTTCTACTCCTGAGTGGAAGCATGCCATGATGGAGGAGATGAGAGCGCTTGCTAAAAATGACACTTCGGAATTAGCTGCGTTACCTAAGGGCAAACGACCTGCTGGATGTAAGTGGGTAGCCGATGGTTCAATTGAACGTTACAAGGCTAGATTGGTGGCTAAGGGTTTTACTCAGACTTATGGAGTAGACTACCAGGAGACATTTGCACCGGTTGCTAAGATGAATTCTGTCAGAGTCCTCTCACTTGCCTCTGATCTTGACTGGCCTCTCCATCAATTTGATGTAAAAAATACTTTCCTCCATGGAGATTTGGTAGAAGAAGTGTACATGGACATTTTCCCTGGCTTTGAGGATGTTAAAACCACAGGAAAGGTGTGCCGGTTACGCAAGTCACTTTATGGCCTTAAGCAGTCTCCTAGGGCTTGGTTTGAGAGGTTTACTCAGGCCATGCTGAGATATGGTTTCAAACAAAGTCAAGCTGATCATACT